GTAACTATTAACTGAGAGCTAAATGGTCAATAAACTATGATTGGTCAAAATCTTTGAAAAATTAAAAGTAAAAAATTCTGTCAAAACCACAGAGTAGTTGAATATCTGAGATTTAGGAGAGCTTTCAGCTTATCACATGGCACTGGCCAGTTAGAGGCAGGAAGTTAAAGACAGAGCAAGAGTGTTACTGGTATGGATCACTGAAGTGTTTATTAGCCAAAGGCCCTGTTCTTAAAGACACAGTTAGTACTAGCCTGTGAAGTTAACCTGTCTCCTCAGCAAGAAATTGTGATGTATTTTTTTTTAAATTAGTATTAAGGTAAAAGAAAACATGGCATTAAGATCAATTTTCATTTGGCATTAATCAGGCAAAGCTTGTAAATTTAAAACTTGAGTATATTTGAGAGCCTCCACTGCTGAAGGCAGAGTTTTCATGACATGCCTAAAAGGCATCTTAAAAAAAAAAAAAGGTGACTTCTCAAAATATCTTAAAAATTCTTTACATATTTTTATCTCACTATTTTTTCCTAGATAATATTGAAAAACCTTTCTCCTCCCCAGCCCCCCAGGATTTTAAGTGGTGAATAGTGTGAGAAAAAGTAGGATACAACTTGGACAACTATGCAAAATCAGCCCAGTGATTGTGTGCAATCTGTGTTTTGAATTTAGGATATGGATCCACGCTTAATTGCCTGGAAGGGAGGTGCAGTTTTGGCCTGTCTTGACACAACTCAGGAGCTCTGGATTTACCAGCGGGAGTGGCAGCGCTTTGGTGTCCGAATGCTACGAGAACGAGCTGCATTTGTGTGGTGATGGATGTGGCTGCAGTGGAACCTGCTTAACTCAAGATTCCTTTCCCCAAATGCCCCTTTTTTTTTTTTTCAGTGCAGATGTATTGATCTTCTGCTGATATATATTTTTGTATTTTATTAATATTGACTTCAACTGAGATTTTTCCAGAAGTGTTGCAAAAACAATCTTACTGAATGCACGTGACTTCAGCATTGCTACACTTCAACTTTGGAATTGTAGGCATTGGATTCTGTGTACAGAGTACCACAGTCATCTCCAAATTAACTGTATTTATACTATACAGGTTATGTATATTAAAACTGCACGATGTGGGAACTTAAGGTATATGTGGGAGGCGTGTCTGAAGGCACGAGGGATGTGCCGGGGCAGTTAGGCCCAAGAGAACATGTGTGGTCACATATAACTCTATTGGCTGAAGAAGTCACATGGTATTCAGGGATATAAGGAGCGGGAATTTTGAAATAAACTCTTTGATTACACCACCACGAGGAGCAGATCATTCCTTGTTATACAAGGGCCTCGCCGTTACAGGTTTAAAATGTTGATGAGACAGATGTTAAGTCAAGATTCATTCCAGGTACATGGACACAGAAGCAACAGCTGAAGAGTGCAGCTGTGGGTTTAATGTCTTACTCTGACTCTATCCTAACATTACCAGGAGATGAAGTTGTTATATAAGTGATCATTATGGAAAAAAGTGAAATGACGAATTAAAAGTACAGTTGCTGTTGGTATTTTACTTATGTAATAAATTATATTATTCAGTGAAAAGACAAGAATTTGGAAGTGGAGTGATTTTTTCTTGCTGGTTCTTATCATCAAAACCTCTTGTTAGCTTTTCATTATCCAGGGCACAGTCTGCTTTTTCCCTATTTTGCAAAAATCAATATAATACACCCAAAAGAACTAGCTGCAATTTCATACAACCAGCACCAACCTCAGTTCTGTGGGTCTTTGGGCTCTCTCCCCCAACAAATAATCCTTAGTTACAGAAGTGCTATTTGTTGGAAGAGATTCAATATTTACTCTCCATTTAGGAAGAAAGCAACGGAAGGGAAAAGGCTGTGGGAGAATGGCAGAGATGACAGAACAAACCCTTTGGGCCAAGGAACACGTTTCTGCACTGAGTATTTCAGGGGAGTTCCTGCAGCCCAGCCCTAGTCCAGTCCCATGGTCTGCACAGCAATTAGCAGTTTGACAGTGTCAGATTCATTAAAGTACAACTTCCAGTTTCATTTCATCTGAGGGCATTTAGGCTGCCCAATACAAACCCACCCTGCGATACAAACCCAAACAGAGAGAGGCTCATGGGCAGCTCCCTTCAAAAGCACAGGAATGATTTAAACAGAAACATTGATACAGCAACATCTGGAGCTTCCTAAACAAACTTGAGACAGTTCCCATTACGATGATACCTAAAAGGTGGTCTCTTCACATGATCTTATCTAAAAGGATGCTCGCAGCAAAACTCAAACAGCAGGAATTACAGAGTACTAAAACTTGAAAAAGTAAGAACTCTTACCTCAGTCTGTGATGAGCTACTGCAGCACATACAGCCACAAGTAGAGCAGCAGGGAGAAAACACACAAATCCTCCAACAGAATTGATTGTGAAGAGCTCTGAAAGAGAAAGAATCACTTTGAAACAAGTCTGTAAAAACTATCTTCAGTTATCATAATAATATTTATCAATGTATAGTATTTATGGATTCATTTATGCATATTTTAATAGACTTTAGAGAAAACGCACACAGAATTACTGAAACGAGCATTTCCAATGCCCGTATATAGAAGAGAAATTGTGCTAAAAGGCAATGCAAAATGGTTAATCATTACTGGAATTTTAAAAATTTTGCTTACCTTTACAAAGATATCAGTGCTCTCATCGCCCCCGGTATCCTCACAGAAATTCTAGTTTCATGTATCTAATAGTGACATGAAATCCTGAAGATGGGTATGCAGGGGAAGAAAAAAGTCAAAACCATTTATCACAAAAAGAATCATTATGAAGTTAAATCACGTTAAATATTTAATTGCATTTCAAAATTGCCCTTACTAGGCTTTAAAACTATTACATATTCTTAACAGCAGAATTATAGATTGTTCACATACATTTATCTTTAAATCTACTAGTCAAATACAACAAAACAGAGTATCTTAGGAATTCCAAGGAAGGTGTGCTGCATGTCAGTGAAGCCTAATTCCTAGTTGCTATGTATTTTCTTACATTGTCATGTTCATTGATTAATCTCATTCTGAGTAAAATCACACTGTTTAAACTATTCTTAAGAATATAATCTCAAAAACTGAAATAATGTTACCAATGGAACAGAACTCCTCTGAAAGCAACAGCAGCTCTGTTAAACCCTCTCCCTGAGTTCTCTGGCCAGCTCTGGTGATAGCACTTCACTGGAAGCAAGAGCCTCCTGCTGTGCTACTACAGAAGGACAACTTAGAAAACTATACTTTTGATTTACTATAATTTAACAGAAAATTACCTTTGCTTCTATGTCTGTATCAATAAGAACTTCATCCCTTGATGCTCATAAAGCAATACTAAATGTTCAAGCCCAAGACTGCTTGTTGTAAAACTCACTCCTAATTTTGTCTGTATTTTTGCAAACTCTCTGAGGGTTGAAAAGATTTCAGTTTAAAGTTGTTAATAACTATATAAGCAATGAAATGGATTTCTGCTGGAGCTGTGCTTGCGGTAGGCACCACACACCCTGCAGGTGGCACCTTATGACCTTACAGAGTGATCTTGCTTTTGAAGGGGCAAATCAGGAGTGTTTGTTACAACAGGGATTCTCTGCAGCTGTTTCAATTCAGGCACTGCTGCCTGAAAATATATGTGGCAAAAATATCTAGCCTACTGAACTTCCAACTGATTTAGAAGCATAGTACTTCTTAGTTACACATCTGCATGCTCAAATCTGCAAGGAATTTGTTTAGTCTGCTAAAGGTACATTTGGTCATGTCAGAGTACCAGCCAGTAACTAGACTAAATCCATCATCATGTGTAAACTAAGAAAATTTCTCGATCTCATATCCACAGATTAAAATACGGCATTACTATCCAAATTCAACTGTACAGAATTCTCAAAATTTCCATTATATAATTTCCATATAATTGTACCATTATGGGTACAATAGAGGGAAAGATTCAGAAGTAGGTCTTAGACCCTATTCAATATTCAGGCAAAGATGCTATTGTGAAACACTTTTGGAGTCATCTTCCCCCCTTCGGTATTATGTCTATACGTGTTCATAGTACCAATTTCAGTACAACTTCTGCTGTACATCAGCAAAATTATCTTTAAAGACTTGAATTTAAATGGATATTTAAAATTTTAGCACATATACGATCTGTGTGTATTTTCACTAAATTCTATTGAAATATGCATAAAGGGGTGATTATCTCTCTGAGTAGCCAAGAATGAGGTAGCATCAACAATTTCTAGTCAGCATTGGCTACCCAGTGGGATATTCTGAGTTATCATTGAACACACACTTATCGGTGATGAGCACCAAACCCCACAGTCAGTTCCACACAGGCACGTTGGGACAACTCGTTTGCTACTCGTTCCCTTCCAAACCAAGGTGTTCTCCCGGAAACACACATTGCCCAGGTAAGGATCGTGCGATCCTTACCTAAAGCTTTGAACTGCAAGGTCCAGCTCAACTTTCACAGGCTGTCCTCGAGCACTTCGCCTGCAGCTCATACAGGGACACCCCCGGCAGTGCCGGGCAGGGACACGGACAGTGGAGCGGGGCCCGCCCGCCCCATCGCGATCTGGAGCTTCTCCCCTTCACCTCGAGCCGCGTTGCAGCTCCCAGCGCTCCCGTTGGAAAGCGGGTTCACAGCCGAGGTGACAACACTGTCGAAGACGTCTGCTTTAAAAAGCAAAAACATTTTTATTGCTTTAAGGGGGAAAAAAAACCCCAACCAACCAACTAAAAACAACAAAAAAACCCTAAACAAAAAAAGCCTTTCTGTCCACCCCACTAGGGGCGGAGTGAAAAAGTTGGAGCGCTCCCGGGAAAGGAGCGGGGGAAGCCGCCTCAGCGCGGACCTGGACACTGCCGGAGTCCCGCGGGCGGAGCTGTCCGGATCCCGTCCCGTGTCCCGGCCCCGTCCCGTGTCCCGATCCCGTCCCGTGGAGCTCCAGCCGCCCGCGCACTCCAGCGGGACGGGCGAGGCAGAGGACTTCGGCCCGGCTGCCCCTCGGGCCGCTTTCGAAACAGAACGAAGCCACTCTGACACATTCTCCGCAGCAGCCAAAGGGTGCGTTCCGGTGGGAAGTCCCACCCGCGCTCCTACCCTGCCTCTCCACAGAGCTCTCCTCCGCCCGCCCCCCGCCGGCGGCCCCAGCGCTCGCAGGGACCACCCCCGTCCCCCCCGGAGCTGGGCGGTGGCTGCCGAGGGTCGGCGGCGCGGCCCCGCTGCTCCACCGCCCGTGGCAGCCCCACACACGAGCGGCCTCCGCGGCGGGCAGGGACGGAGACGTGTCCGTGGGTGCCCCCTCCTGCGGGACAGACTCGCGATCTCCCTCCTCCTCTGGCGGCCCCGGTCTCTGTGCGGCAGGAGCACCCCAAGAGAGGTCGCGGACAGCCGCAGACCCTGCGGAGCTCACAGCGGCCAGACACACTTGTTCTCAGGAGGAACGGCGAGGTAAGTGGGCTTGAACGGTTCCAGCCGTGGAAAGGAAACTTGCCACAAACTTTTTCTAAGTGAATGAACTTCCTTCCTAGCGGCACTGAAGTGAAATTAGTCCAAAACATTCCCGGGCAGATTGATTTAAACGGTGTTAAACAGCCTCCAGCAGGGAAAAACAAACAAACAAAAGGTAAGAGCTGCTTTTACCTGAGGAGCTGTTCCTCCTGCGCCTCACACAGTCAGGCTTGACAGGTTTTGGCAGCACCGTGAAGAGTAAACGTACTGACAAGGTCTCATTGTTTTGCTGCATCGTGCGTTGTCCACGCTGCGGACATCTCTGGGAGAGGGTCATATTTTACATCTGCCAGAGAGGATATTCTCGTTTTGGCTCTGTCAAAATAGGACAGGGAGTAAAGTTTCAGGCACAGTGGCCCTCTTAGTTCCAGGATCAGTTTAGAAGAACTGGGCTAGGACCGTGCTCGTGCAGAGGGACCATGCATAGAGGAGAGTGGATGTAGATCAATACAGCAAAAAGAATTGTGCCTTGAAACTAGTGTTTTAATCCATTCAATCCAAACGTGTATGCTGCATTTAAACTAAATCAGAATGGCTTGATTTTTGACCTCTGCACTTCAGAACTTAAGAGAACAGAAGACTGTGAATCATCTACACACTGACTCTCAAAGTCACTTGAATGTTATGGCCAGAATAGCACTGACTGAGTTCACACTTTGCAAGACAAAAATGCTCTCAGATGTTATTCTGTCAGTCCTGTTCCATTTGATGTAAAATGAAATGAACAAACAAACCCAACAAAGAAAACACAAAACCAACCAAACCACAAAAACCCAAACAAACAAACAAAAAACCCAAACATGGAATCATATCTAACTATAAATGTGAAAAACGTGATGGAGCAAATTTAAAATAATACTTCAGTTACTTCAAAAGAACATCAATATTAGATTTAACCTTCTTGGCTGGTAATTCAGCCTTCAGCCCAGACAGTGGGTGCTCTGTTGTGGTACATATTTTTGATGACTCATTCGCAGTTTTATCAAAGAACAGGACAGCTCTGGTTGGTTAACAGTAATGATGCCCAGTGCCCTCTAACATTTTTAAATTAGGCACCTCATATAGTACAGAACCATTTCATTGCTACCCATTTTCCAATACACCCTCCTGTGTATGGAGGATATCCTCCTTCCTCTCTTTGCAGTGGATTGTGAGCCCTTTAGAAGTCTAGGAGTAAGGTCTCTGGGCTGAATCCTAACACCTTTTCTTATCTTTCTTACAGAGAGTGCAAGCCATTTTAGTCCTTAGATGCCCTATGCAGCCTTTTTTTCCTCTCCTTTTTGTCTCCCCTTCTTAAAAAAAAAAAAAAAGTGAAGTAACACATTCTTCACCGTTTACAGCATCACTGCCCTTTAGAGAAATCTGCTTTCACATGTGATCCCAGATCAACATCTGTGGAGTCACAGCAGTAGATACTGTAGGTACTGGTGGATTACATCAGCCTGATACTGTATTCAGAAATGTGTTACAATGATACAAGGAGCCCCAAACGCTTCATTTCAGAACTCCACTGCCCACTTCCAGCTCGCCAGTGTCCAATTAAATATATTATTAAATTGCAGCAAGAGAATTTTCCTGCTCAGGCGCTCCTGCTCTCCTCAGTCTTGTAAGATCACTGTCTGTAGGCCCTGCTGAATAGCAACAAACTTTTTTAAAATGAGTTCTAGATTTTGAAGCTCTACTGCAATACAGGGAATGTATTTTATGTTGCTGCCATATGCATTTCTGCAGGTCTGCTCACTGATTCCTGAGGAACATCTTACCACATGTTCATAAAGAGGTCCTGATTTGGGGGAATTCTGAAAGACATGCAATAATATTCAGTGAGGCCCAAAAGACAGCTTTTTGTTCATAGTAAGTAGAGAGCATTCCAGTAGAACCACGTTGTGTATACTTTCACATTTCTACGTATTTCATTTTGACACTACACTATTTAATAGAGCTGCCATAAAACTATAACTCCCTGGGTAAAGAGGGCCTGCTTCCCCAGCACATTTCAGAGCCTCAAGTGACTCTATGTATTAAGATAATAACTTGATTTTTTCCAGTTACTGAAAAAAAGCACCTTTTTTGCTGAAATGCAGTTTTTAGGAACACTTCACAGGTTCTAAATGCTCCAGTGCAAAAAAAAAAAAAAACCAAAACCAAACAAACAAACAAAACAAACAAAAAACACAAACAAAACAAACAAACAAAAAAACGGCTAAGGGAAAGTTGAGTGCAAAGATGCTCAGTGTAAAAAGATTACGTTTTCTGTGGTTCTGCTACATTCCACAAGAGTATTTGCCACAGAAGAACTTGAATTGTGATTCACCCATGCATGCTTATAGTACTTCATACATTATTGTAGAGAAGTATCATCATGTTCCAGTTTCGGGACTTGATGATCTCAGTCTTTTAGACCAACCTCTTCAATAAAATGTTGAATAGTTTTGAGTTTCAAAGCCTGTATCTGTGAGAGGCTCTTAAGCAAACCAGCTTTTAAAAGGTATTGACTTCAGTATTAGGATTCTGGCACAAGGCAAGACACAAACACTTAATCCTGTCATATCACTGCTGTCTTTGGAGTGCCACTTCAGAGTGGTTTTGGGAGCTCAGTAGCCCTCATTTATGCTTTAGCAAGTTGTAGAACTACAGCCTCCAGCACTAGCAGAGTAGATAAGTCCCTGACTGAACACCATTCCAGGGATTTTGGAGAATCTACCCTCAGCCAAGGATTAGGTAGATTTCAGGCTTAACAACCAGCATTCTGGTTAGGAGGTACAGTAATATTCAATGGCTTTATAGATGCCAAAAGAAGCCAGTCAGTACTCATTTCAGAGTCTGTGAGCCCTACCTGTCTAAATAATAAGTGTTGACCTTCTGTAGGACTAAAATATGAGTGTTCACTCCTCCCAGAAAAGTAGAAACAACCCAGGGACAGAATATCTTTCCCAGATTGTTCAGGCTCAGACCCATATTCTACCAGCCCCATCACCAGTTTGCTGTTCCTGAATCAATAAAGTCCCATGACCCATCAGTTTTGCAGGTTAAACATCAGTACTTCAAAACCATAACCCTCTTCATCACAAACAAATCAAGTAAAAACCTCTCTACCTTTGCATGCACCTCTGCTGCATCACAGGAAATGAGCAAACCTCCTTCTGCAAGAGACAATCCTTTAATAGTTGCCACCTGCAAAAAACAAATTCCACCCCCACCTTCAGCTGGGCTCAGTTTTGAATTAGCCATGTGAGAATCACCTGTGTGAACTTTAGGCTCAGATGTATCCCCAGCATCTTTTTTTTTCTTTGCAGAGCAAACTGTTCTCCATGATTGGTTGTTCATTTTTCAGAAGTTTGGGGGTTTGTACAGCCTATTACAAGTTTTTCTACGAAGAGTCAAATGTATACTTCTTCCCATCCTTTCCCTGAGAGTAAAAAAACCCCATACTTTTGCACATGAGATTGTACATAAAATTGTATATAATTGTGCATGGAAGACTTTTAACATTCATCAGCAAAATACATCTATTTTGTTACAGAGTTGGGCCTTAGGGCCTTGTGTGTGCTCTCACAAACTTTACACTGTAGAGTTTCATCCAAGAAAAGGAGTACAGTTCTGTTCCACTGTTCAGTACGAAAAAGCTGATTACTTCAGTGATTCATTAAGGCATGTTTTCTTTTAGTGAAAAACCGCAGACATTTAAAAAGAAATACAGGTTTTATATTACAAAATATTGGATAACTATGAAATTGGAATGTAAAAAAAAATCAACAGTAACAACTAATTTCTGAAAAATTTTACTTCACAAACATAATACAGTATTCAATGTATTTCAGGAAAAAGCTTGGTTATATCTTTCAGTTGGCCAGTGCATTACAGTGGAACAGCCTCTGGATAAGTTGCTATCTCTGGAATCTCCAGCAATGACTTAGACCAAAGCCATGGGCCAGGGAGAAATACTATTTACAACCTAAAGATATCCCTATTCACTAACAGTTTACACCAAAAGGAATGAGTTTCAAGGGGAGAGAGCAAGAGAAACACTTTTGACTGGCTGGCAGCAACAGTTTCTGTGACACACAGGCTGTGAAAAACTTGCATTGAGTCCCTGTACCAGTACAACACAGAGCTAAACCTGTGTTGCTGACAGGGCTCACAGGCTTCTCTGAAGGTTAAAAAACTTGCCATTCCTACTCAGCCTGAGGATCTGGTGATGATGGATTGTAACTGTACTTGGAGAACTCTTGAGGGACCTGGGTTTAGTACTAGGGTAGAAAGCCACAGATGAAGAGATTTTGCCTTTCCCTATGTTTGGAGTCATGCCTCCAAACCCAGCAGTTTTTCACCTTAGGGATAGCTGGAAATGAGTTTCACTGTTACACATTTGTTGTGTAGAGATGTCCTAGATTTGGTCTGGCAGAATATGCAGTGGGCATACTCATCACTTCTATTGTGAATTGGCTTGTCTGTCAAAAACTTACAGAGAAGTTTGTGGAATTGTTGTTTTCCTTGTATTCTTTCCTATTAGAGGTGGATGAAGACAAACTACTAGGTAAGCAAAGGTTTCCACCCTTTATGAGTTTGGCAAATACTTGAAAATGTCAGTTGTGTATCTATCTCAGGAACCAGGAGTAAATAGAAGTCAGGCTGCATACAATACACATATATAGACTGCATTAAATGAATAATAAGACAGCAAATTTCAGAGTAAATGTTTATTGGTTTATTGACATTGTTCCTGGATAGTGAGAATGGGTAAAGTATACCAGTGTTACTTGAAAATGACTGACATTTTAGGGGTAGTAATGCTTACATCTTAATTAGTATTTTTTTTTGTTTTTCTAGGGTAAAACACTGGATTTTTGTTAAAAATTCCGCAAAACTGGTACTATCAGTAAATATGTCGTACTTAATGAAAGGAGTTAAGTGGTGCAGTCCTGTAAGTCAGATGGGCAAAGTAACAGGAAGCTTGTTAAAAGCACACACATTAAAGAACATATTGGGCATCAATGAACAACTCAAAATTTCACGTGCATCATCTCAACTTAGTTCTGAAAAGGCAAACTCTTATAACTACGTCATTGTTGGAGCTGGATCAGCAGGGTGTGTATTAGCCAACAGACTGACAGAAGACCCTCTCAGTACTGTGCTCCTTTTGGAAGCAGGCCCTAAAGATACCCTTCTAGGCAGTAAAAGGCTGATGTGGAAGATTCACATGCCTGCTGCATTAACATACAACCTCTGTGATGAGAAATATAACTGGTATTACCACACAACACCCCAAAAGCACATGGACAACCGAGTGATGTACTGGCCCCGAGGGAGAGTGTGGGGTGGCTCCTCTTCCCTCAATGCTATGGTTTACATCCGAGGGCATGCAGAGGATTATAACAGATGGAACAGGGAAGGGGCTACGGGATGGGACTATGAACATTGCTTGCCCTATTTTAAGAAGGCACAGACACATGAACTGGGGTCAAATCAGTACAGAGGTGGAAATGGACCTCTGCATGTGTCAAGAGGGAAAACAAACCATCCTCTTCATCAAGCATTCCTGGAGGCAACCCAGCAAGCTGGGTATCCCTTCACAGATGATATGAATGGCTATCAGCAAGAAGGATTTGGCTGGATGGACATGACTGTACATCAAGGTAAATCATAATGGCATCCATAAGTAATTTCTGTTTCTGAGCCATCAGTGGTATTTCTGAAGTAATTTTGGAATATGGACATATAATCTGCATTGAATGCCATTTGGGTGTTTAGGTAACTACACAGCTATGGCACTCTGTGTTTGCACCCTATTCATTTCACAGCAGCTTGCTATCAGTCTAGTGCATATTTCATTGAAAACTGCATTGGCAGGCAAGTCTTGATTCACAGTTAAACTGTGTCACTGTGAAATATGCTATATTAAAATAAAATCTTTCACTATTATTTCAAATCACATTTGCTTCGAACTGATAACCTCTGTGAAGGCTTTCCCTCTGTAAACATCCTGGTGGTTATTGGCCAAAATCTGAAGAATACTGAGCATGACTATTGTGATGTTTAATGTAAATATACATTGTAGGTCAAAGATGGAGCACAGCTAGTGCTTATCTTCGCCCAGCCATATCACGCCCAAATTTGTCAGTTGCAGAGAAGACACTTGTAACAAAAATCTTGTTTCAAGGAACAAAATGCATTGGTGTTGAATATGTGAAAAATGGGCAAACGGAAAAGGTAAGAGATTTTTTTTTTCCAGTTGAAAGGTATGAGTCAAAGCAAAATTAATTAAAAAAAAAAACCAAAAAAACCCCCAAAAAAACCCTTTTATTGGAAGTGGCACCAGTATATGATTCCTTGTCAGTTATTCTACAGTGGGTGATATTGCAGTTGTATTGATTTAGAGATTAACTTCTCCATCATATTTCCATCTCTCAGTACTGAGGGGACAAGTCATAACTTGATGTTACACAAGAGTGTTGTGTAAGATGTCTGATTGGAACCTATGGTGCAATCATGCACTGCCTCAGCATATTGACTAGTGCTGACTATGCTGATGTTTCTGAAAAACAATTCTTAAAATTATGTTCTGGCATAGGAAAGTCTGTAAAAGCCAGATCTGAACTCTGAATGGCTCAAGGGATAAATAACAAGTCATTCACTTCTACTTTACCATTATGTATCAAGATAGTAATGGGATGAAACATGGGATAGTAATGATGAAACATGATGAAACTTGCCTGAGTATTTTTCAGTCTCAGTCCAACTTTCACTGAACATGTGATTGTGTGGAAGGAAGCTTGAATTGTCATTACAACTTAACTCTGTGGACAAACAGTTAATTTTATGCTTCTTTCAATCCATTGACTTCTGTAAGAGCTAAAACATCCTCACTTCCCTTAACAGCTGGTTACAGAGTGTGTAACTAGGATATTGCCTAAAAGGGGCCTGCATGCTAATAACCTGAGATACTTAGACACAAACAAGTATAAAATAACTAAAAAGTGTAATAATAATATCCTAGAGAGAGTAGAGTTTTGATGGTTTGAGTTCAGTAAGTCTAATAAGACTCAGCAGACAAATGTTCTGTGACTGAACACCTGCTAAAAGTTAAAATGCAGTACAAATAAACTGATTTTCTAATGCACAGAACAAATCTGTTGTTGTCTAAGTGGTTTGGTAATGATAATCATTTTAACAATGTAAAACAAAAGTTGCAGAACATTTAATTGATTTCATGAGCTATTAAATGTCTCTGAAAATAGTGTCTCTAATTGCTGTTCTTGTGCCATTATCGAGATTAACTTTGTTGAAGAAAGTCTTGGAAACCTAATTACACATGATCAAAGACTTTCTGAATATCGGAACATTTAATTGCAAAATTCTATAATTCTTTAATTGCTATGAATTTTCATGCATATTAATATATATATGAATTATACATAGTAAAAGAATGATATATATTTAGCATATATCAGACAAAGTACACCTTCAAAGTATTTCCCTTCCTTTTTTCCCCCCCACAGCATCACAATTGCAGGATTTCTCTTCTTTTACTTTCTGGAAAATTTTAGACCTGTCAGGATGGAAGAGCTAATAATTTTATTGCATTATGAACATCAAGATGGAACCCTTGATTACATTAAAGAGTTTCTGTTTTTACAGCCCATTTTAGATAGGATCTGTTTTACGTCAAGAGATCACCAAAACCTGATTCAAGCATGATTCAAAACCTATTCACCAGCCAGTGACTTGTTATTTTACTAGAGGTTGAGGTCCTAGAGAAAGATTCCAGTATTCCAGTAAGCTCTCTGACAAAAGTATGGAAGGTAGGCTGAACATTCCTACACTTTCTAAGTTCAGAATCAAGCAGAAAATAATATTTTAAAGGATAAAAATGTTTCAATGTTTCACAAACTAAATAACCCATACAAAAATATATCAAAGTCAGTTTTTCTCTTAGCATGTTAACTTTAAGCACCATGAAAGACTATACAGGCTGAGAATAACTACAGTGCTGACATTGCAGTGAGTTTAGACTGAACAAGCATCATTTGATTGGTACTTAGAACAAATTGGCACCAGTTCTGTGTGTACCATAGAAAATGTAAGTAAATTATATTTGTAACATGCAAAATACAGATCTAAGTATTGATTCAACAGGCATAGATGTGCTCTGTATTAGTCTTAACATACTAATGATTGCCCAGAGCAAAACAATAATAAACAAAAAAAAGCAGTACTGGCCATCTGTGAGCAATATTAGATAAATAGTGTGAAAATAATTTATGAAACTTCTTCTTCCTATTACTTCCTAGTCTTACTCCAGCAACAATCTCATTTACAATCATTCTGTATAGCTGTGTCATTCAAAAAGGACAGAATTACTCCAAGCTAATATGCCTTCCATGCTAATCTGTTAACCATATTATAGGAAAAACATCACTTTTTAATGTTACTTTAGAAGCTAAATGTCTTACCTAAAATAAAACCAAACAGCTACTCATAATAGCACCTTCCATTCTATGGAAGTGGAAAATGCAGATGAGCAATACCACACATGGAATCACAGAATCATAGAATTAAGGTTGGAAAAGACCTCCAAGATCAAGTCCAACCTTCGACCAAGTACCACCTTGCCTACTAAACTATACCACAAAGTGCCATGTCTCCCTGTTTTTTGAACACTTCCTGGGATGGTGACTCCAGCACTTCCCTGGGGAGCCCGTATGTTTCCTTGAACTCCCATGGATTTTGCTTGTAATGAGAAAAAGCTCAGGGGTGTAGTTGTGTCTGTCACCTATTTTGTCCTCACTGTGGCCACAATGATATATTAGAATTCAAGGATAAATGTTCTGAGATTACTTTTGCAAATGTGAATTGTTTTAACACGTTGGACTAGCTTAGAATTTGCATTAAATTGTTGCATACTTTTTGCTTCTTCTGTGGTGTAGTTGTTCTTTCTTAAGGACAGATGAACATTGAATTTTTTTCTTATGTCCAAGAGTTACTATTCAGTTTGTAATCCCTAACTCATTGTCTACACAGCAGGCAACATTCGTGTGACCAGGGAGGATGGAACACGTGTGTGTGTGTCCATAAACCATCTCACTGGAATAGAAAGGGATAGTTTAAACATGGTTGGGTTCACCCACATCATCCTCTTTCAAAGAGTGAAGGGAAAAGGAGGAGGGTATCAATATTTTCTTACCCTACACAGTTTTAACTGTAAAAAGCACTGAGGGCTCATTCCAATCCCAGATTAAAGAGATGTGGCAACAGCAAAGAGGAAAACCCCAGATACAAATGACACAGAGAAAGATTTTGGTATTGCTAAATGAGAATATACTGAGGCAGAACTCCTGGAAAGATGATGTGCCAAAATACTTGCAGAGACGGTTCTAGGAAAAGAACTATACAGCACAGAAAACCAAGTCCAAGGCAGAGGAATAGTTTAGCAGCTATATCATGACCAAACTGACTGATGAAAAGTGTGCCAGCAAAACAGAATTAGAGATATGCCTGCAGACAGTTTTCTCAGTGGTGCTGTAGTGATTGAGGGGCTTCTGAGAACTACAACAAGATAAAAACCCAAACATTCGTCTTGGTCGAATTAAGAAAATAAGCTCTTGAGAATTTTTGAGCTAGCATGTCTCTGAATTCAAGATCTCCCTTAGGAGTTTCAGTTTTAATTTACAAATGGTTATTGAAAACGGAAGAGAAGCTTAACTGACTGATCCAAATGTCACAGGTACTTTTTTCCTGGCAAGTAGGACAGGAGTTTATTTGCAGCCATGGTACTGACTGAGCTGAATGTTTATGTGCCATCCAATTCGAATGGATTGTAAAGCTGGAAATAAATACAGAAATGATCAAAGTGAAAGCTTGATTATTTCTCTCTGCGGAAACTTCTGGCAAGACAGGAACACATTTAGGATGAGGAAAATGTGAGGGAGGGGTGTCTAATCTGGATCAGAACAGCATATCCGAACAGAAGCTCTTGACGTTGCTTTCAGTCAGCTCAGGCTTAATAATCTTAGGGCTTTTGTGCTCATTTCCTTTTAGGTTTTTGCCAATAAGGAAGTTATTTTAAGTGGAGGTGCCATAAATTCTCCACAGCTGCTTATGTTGTCTGGAATTGGAAATGCAGATGATCTAAAAAAACTGGGGATCCCTGTTGTTTGCCATCTTCCTGGTAATTTTTTTATTCATTTTAACCTTTCATGTTCCTACGGATGCAATTCAATGACCTTCAAATAAAATGAATCATGAAATTCAGTTTTCTTTATATCAGGTTGTGTGGACTGAAATGTGTTTGTTACAAATCAGTGGAAAGCTGCATTGACTTTATACAAATCACTGGAAACATGCATTGATTTTAGAACTGAACAACAAACTCCTACAAACTCCTACACTTTCTTCACTACATTTGATAGTAAAAATGCCTTTCTAAAGGCATACTTTAGGGTTAAGCAGCATACTTATCATTAAGGATTTTGAGTGAGTTTTGATCCACCACAGATTTTATAAACTCCCACTGTCATAAATACTCAAATACAGAAGGAATAACATGAACTTTTCCTTAAAACTAAAAAAGTTAGTACTGTACTAACTTTCTATTTTCATTCTAGTTATGCTATGTTTATTAAAACCTTATTCTGACATGAGCAAAAGGCTGATATGACTCATGGTCTTGGTCTTAGTCACCACTGCCCTTGTAAGAGGTTAGTTTAGTTCCCATTTATGCTGTTTTCTGGAAGCCAATGTGGTGTGTAACTGTTCTGTATGAAATAACTTCCCCCCCCCGCCCTTTCTTCTCCCTCCTCCCCCTTTATTTTTCCCTTCAGGAGTAGGTCAGAACCTTCAAGATCATTTAGAAGTGTATGTCCAGCAAAAGTGCACCAAGCCTATTACTCTGTATAGTGCACAAAAGCCACTTAACATGATGATGATTGGCCTGGAATGGCTTTGGAAATTTACAGGTATGAAACAAAGTATGCAATCATTCTACCCTTGATTGATTTAGAATTATTACAGCCTTTCATCCATGAATTTCATAGGCTGGGAGCCTTGATATGTAATTTTTTTCATGCTCTGGAAAATAACTGGAACTTGCAAATGGACTTGAAATATTTTCTTCTAAATCAGAATATTTTAATGCTATTTTTAACATTCCTGTATCTCATTTGAAGAAAAATTCTATATTTTAAAATCAGTGCTACTGAGAAAGCTATTGTTAAAAAAATGAAGAAAATATTCTACTTGAAATCCATGTAATGTCAATAAAAACATATTGTTGAACTGAACAAATTTTTCTGTAAAATTGTTCCAGAAGAACAATTGTTTGTTGCTCTGATCAGAATCCTTTAGGCCTGCAAGTAAATCTGAACTGACTTTTGCATTTTACAGTAACTCAGCTGTAAGTTGTACCTCAAAAAGAATCTGTAAATACAATCCTTGATATCAGTAAAATAGTTTGTTCAAAGTTGAGGTCTCCACCACTTGCTGAATTATTCTCTTAGTATTTGACACTGGGTATATGTGGCTTTTCACCACACAAGTAAATATTGACAGCTAACTTACAGTTTTAAACAGATGTGGGAATAACATCATATGGGGCACATTGCAGGCTTTTCACCTTTCCCTTCAGGGTGGGGACTGTGGATGGCTCTATTACATGTGACTGATGGGACAACTGTACTGCACATCAGGGAGTGTGCAGGGCAGGAATATCAGGATGCTGCAGTCGCTTCCCTCCACACCCGTGGGCCCTGGGACCAAATCTGCTTCTGGAGTTAGACCCTGGGTGTGCCAGTTAGTGAGAGAACTGTAACATCCTGCTCTCAAACAAACAGGATTTCCAAAGTTATGCATATTTACGTTTATCTAGTCATTAAAAAGCAGATGGAAGGGATGCACATTGCTTAAATTACAAGCTGTTTGTAATGGATTCACGTTCCTTCTAATTGATGCTGAATCTATAAAATATTCATAGTAGTGTTACTAAGGGTTAAAAAGAAGTGGATTTATTGCTCTTCTGAGGTCTTTTAATGGCATCTTCTATCTCATTTACACTCTCTAGGTGAGGGAGCCACTGCCCACTTAGAATCTGGTGGTTTCATCCGAAGTGAACCAGGGGTTCCTCACCCCGACATTCAGTTCCACTTTCTTCCTTCTCAGGTGATTGATCATGGTCGGGTTGCTTCCACAATGGAAGCTTACCAGGTGAGTTGAAGAATATGTTCCAATAATGTCTTGTATTAGCAAGGAGGCTTACACTCTATTGCAAATATTGATAGTTTGACTATATACTGAAAAATACTTTGTACAGTATAATATGAAAGAGTTGACTTAACCTCCTACATTGGGGAAAAAAACACAAGCTTGTCATTTGATATTGCTACCAAAATTATGTTACTTTTTATCTCTGGGAAAGTATGCAAGTATTGAATTGCTGTTTAAGGATTTGCACTAGTGAAGTGCCATCATGCTGTTGATTAGGATAACATTGTGGTAGGTGCTGTTGGAAACTAAATCAAGTTGTTCCCTGTTCCACTGCAGTTTAGACAAAGGTTTAAGTGAAAAATTATAAGACCACACACTTATTCATTGGCACAAATCCAAGCCCCATTTTAGACTGTGATCTTGATTCAATTCTGTGCTAATTCTGGGGAACTGTCACTGAATATACATGTTTCTTTTTACCATTCTCTTTTCTTCAGGGATGATAGTAATTTGGTCCAATTGCTGATTGTATTAGAATGCTCTGCTACTACTAAATTGGAATGATTGTATTTTAAATCAAAAGAACAGCTGTGAGTGATATTTCCTTCCCCTTATGGAATACATTTACAAAAAATTTATGTAAAACAGGAAAATGTTCAATGCTATTTTCCATTATCTCTTTAAACATTTATGTCTGCTGAATTTGTACAGTCTGTCTAAATTGCGAAAAAAAAATTCTCATACTGAATTTGGAACCTGACCTGGTGGGATTGTGTCACAAGTAACAGCACTGTTGTTGCAGGTCCACGTGGGACCCATGAGGAGCACAAGTGTGGGCTGGCTGAAGCTGAAGAGTACAGACCCCAATGACCATCCTATCATTGAGCCCAATTACCTGTCAACAGGTAAATGCAGCCTCTCCTTGCTCTGTCAACTTACTTCTTGCCTGTTTCAGTGGCAGATTTTTGCATTTACTCAGCACCATTTCAGAAGCGTTGATTGGTACATTGTTACTGATTTATCATTTATAAAATCAACTAGTATTGAAAGAGGTGGTTGCCCAAAGCACCCTATAAACTAGAAAGAATTCCCTGGAGGGGATGCAGTCAGAATTCTCAGTGTTTGCTGTGTCATGCTGTTCATTCCATCCCTCATCTGCTTGGGAAGGAATGCATCTCATTTGCTTCTTTGTGCTCAGAATAATGGCCTTGGCTGGACAGTGGGTACAGCAAAATAAAGAGCAATTTCTCATAGCTCACCTATTCCCTTTTGGGATTGTGCAAGACAAGTGAGAGTTTTGCTCACAGTGAATGTCATATCTGTGACTTTGAAAAATATTCTGCTTTATTATGGCTTTCAGCAGTTAAGTGAGAGACTTTCCCTCCAGCCTTTTTTCTTCTATGCTATTATATCTGTTATGCATTCTGTATGTATTGCTAAATTAAAGGTCTACTTACAATTTTCTTATTTTCTCTCTGCACAGAAAGAGATATTTGGGAATTCCGCCAGTGTGTCAAATTGGCCAGAGAGATCTTTGCTCAGAAAGCTTTGGAAAAATTTTGTGGGCCTGAAATTCAACCGGGAAGCCACGTTCAGTCTGACAAAGAAATAGATGCTTTCATAAGGCAGAAGGCTGATAGTGCTTATCATCCTTCCTGCACCTGCAAAATGGGTCTGCCTTCAGACAGCAGTGCTGTAGTTGATCCCCAAACAAAAGTCATTGGCGTTGAAAACTTGAGAGTCGTCGATGCTTCAATAATGCCCAGTGTTGTCAGTGGAAATCTGAATGCCCCAACTATCATGATAGCAGAGAAAGCTGCAGATATAATTAAGGGCCTCCCGTCACTTCAGGAGAAAAACGTTCCTGTATATAAGCCCAAAACCTTGGAATCACAGAGATAAAGGAATATTCTCATCTTTTCACATCTTTTGCTACTTAGGCTTTGATCAGCATGTGGGGGTCTCATACTGAACATGCCAACATGATAAATATCCCACAAAACAACATATCCTAATAAAATAACTATTAATTTGAACTTTTTTATTATTATTATTAGACTACCTGCTTTTTTTTTTTTTAATGAGCTGGCTTAAGTTGCTTATTTTAAAATTACAGAATCATAGAATATGCTGAGTGGAAAGGACCCATCAGGACCATTGAGTCCAACTTCTGACCCTGTGCAGGCCACCCCAAGAATCACAAGTTAAGTTAAATATGACCTCCTGTGGGAAATTCAAACTTTTTGTTGAAGAGAAGTTGTTTCTAAATGAGAGGTGTGCACATGAGCCAGAAATACTGTGCAATTGCATGAGGAATGGAAGATATTAATGTGTGCTATTTTGAAAATCATTATGGTCTGCCTTGTTATTTAAAGGAAGAGTTTTAACTGCTGTGAGAATATTACCCAGGCTAATGGCTAGTCAATTATCCCCACATCCTGCAAGGAATGCTTAAGTAAATGTAAACATTTAGGCAATTTCAGATTCACAAGCCAAAGTAGTTTGTATCAGAATTCATAGCAAAGAGAGGAACCTGCTCAGAGTTTGTTAAATGTTGTATCCATGAGAGGAACACATGGTTTACAAATTCACACTGAAGGTGAGATTTCATTAGCAGTCTTAACTGTATAGTATTCAGGAAGAAGACATACATTGCATATATCAGAAGCTTATTCTTTAAAAAAATACAGAGCTGGAGCTAATATTTATAAAAATATTTATAAAAATGTAACAGAAAACTGGAATTTCTCCTTGTTTGTTTGTGGTTTGGTTTTTTTCCACAAGGAGCTTAGTAGAATTCTATTCACAATTTAAGCTGATTTAGTTGTACCACTTTATGATTTGGGACAGTAGCAGATCTGCACTTCCTGTAACATCCTTAAAGTTACTGGTCTTAGCTCCAAGATGATTGTTTGCAAAAGATATTTCTCAACAAATATTGTGAATAGTGCCTTGCTATCAATCAAATTTAATTTAAAAAATTACACTCAAACTACATTTGAAATGAAATATTATTCAAAATAACTGCATAAGCTGATAATATGGGAAGAGATCTTTTTAAATTAGAAGACGTATTTTAGTCAGTGAATCCATTTTAGTTAGGACTTTAATCTTAATTTTATTATCTTCGAATGTGTAAATTAAGCTACATGATCTTTCATGGCTGTTTTCTGTGTCAATCTAACTTTTAGGTACTGATTTTTAAAAAAAACAAACCTAAGGGAACAACTTACTGAATGAAATTGAATCCATTGATTAGTTTGTATTTATTAAGTATTGCAAAATAACTTCTGACTAAGCAGCTGTCAAAATATAAAGTAAAAGCTTCTGTAGCCTAAGTTTGGTGGCAAACACAATAAACTTTTTCAGAAAAAAAAATGGAATTTGACACCATTTGAACAGATTGTAAAAAACCTTGCTGACTCAGACATTGGCTAGAGGGACAACTGCAGATGTTTAAGGCAGATATTTGTACCTGGTGCTGCTCGCTGGAAGGCAGTGATTGGAAGCCCTGCTGTTAACTGAGGGAAAGGACTTGATTCACTTCAATGTCTGCATAAAGACAAACAAAAACACTGAAAATGGAAGATGACAGCGGTGAACTCTGCTCCAAAAAGAGGCAGGTAAACCTTCTCTATGTATGTGATGCCTTCTTTTGAAATGAGGGGAAGAACAGGAATATTTCAAGTCATAGGTGATTGATTAGCTGAAAGACACGATTGATCTGATGCCAGTGTGTGTTTGGGAGAAGCAGGGACTGCGTATTCTGTACCTTTTAATGGCAAATCATTTTTATTCAGCACCTGTGCTTCTGAGATTTTCCTTTAAAGGTATTCAGTAAGTGTCTTAGTGTCATTTGGAACACAATTAGCACACTCAGAGTAGTATAAACAGGTGAGACTTACCACAGTCCTGTGCAGCTGAGAGGGGAAGCAATTTGGCAAGATGGAAAGCTGAAGTTCCTGCATTGGCAGATTTACAACAGGGGTTTCCACTCTAGGCATGCAAGATGGGAATTATTATGCAACTGCAGAGGATTAACTAGCCACTGGCTTACATAACTTATCACTGAACACACACAGACCTATCCTCTGCCATTATGTCAAGCCCTAAAAATATAAGTAAATAGCAAGGTATCCATGCCAAACTGTGTGTCTTAGTTCAGGTATCGCTGCACTGAGTAATCAAATAATCAGGCATTTCTTCTGAAACATAATCTTTTCTTGCACCCATAGACACCTTGCAGATTCCTGCCTTTCTAAACACTTAGATATTTTCATTGCTGTGAACTGCAGTTATAAATTCCAGCCTCACTGCTGTAAAATGCTGAGGCTCCTTCATGACATTCCTCTGACGCAGTGCTAGAGAATTGGCTGAAAGGTTTTGTTGCTCTGGGGAAATCTTTAGGTAACACCAATCTTACCATTAGTTTCTCTTGCTGATATCTGGCTGCTGATGTTGAATTCCTGCTAAAATTGTTCTGACTTCTAGCAGTCAAGTCATGCTTAGAACATGTCCAAGATATTCTAACGTGCCCTGTGGAGCACTGGCAGTCTGCCAGCTAAAATTAACCATCTTTTACACCTTACTGAATTGCAGAACACAGGCTGATAATTCCAGAGTTTTACTTATTTAACAGAATAATATAGTGTGATTATTCCCAATTCTACCAAGACATTAATTTTTCTATACATATTTCTATTTATGTATTCAAAACCAGTTAACTGTAAAAGCTGTTTGATGTAAGAATTTGGAAGTTACTAGACCTGCCAGCACAGCTTGAACCAGCAGCGGTTCTACAAGTAAGAACATCAGCATTTCCATGGGAATACCTTGCTGCAGATGCTTCAGACAGTTGGAGGTCTCTGGCTGGGGACAGTGAGATTAAAAAAGAAAAGTGACCAAAACCACATCTTTTGTACACACATTTCAGTTCAAGTTCCTTTAGTATGACAAGTGCTTTTAAAAGCAGCACAAAATAGCAGTATTTGTAAACCTGCATTATATTTAATTTATGTAAGGTTTTGTACACCAGAACTTCTGATGTTTCAGCAACTTAAAATCCTTTCCAAGTGTCTGATTTCAGTTAATCTGCAACCAAATGAGGCAGCTATATAAATACTGGATAACTGTAAACTGGGCTTGGAATATGCATTCTCTATACAATAAACATGAAAATTTTAAGAAATAATTAAAGAATCTATACTTTTTATATTATAGTTAAAATGAAGAGTTATTGTAGGGAGAACACATGATATCTTATCACAGTATTGTAACTTCAGTCTCAATTCTTCTGTCATCCAAGCTCCAAAAAAACCCCCAGTGTTCAAATATGAATATAATTTGTAGATTCACTTTTTCAGTGAATTTACTTCACTGTAAAAGACTTCACAATGTCTAATTCTTTACTAATGTTTTCTGTCATTACAAACACACATAAACCAATTTGGAGACTTAAAATATGCTCTAATTGTTAAAAGAACTTCTAGTTTTACTGTATTGAATAATTAATATGATTGGCAGTATTTTAAGGGTGCCAATTACCATATAATTGTGCATATACTGATTACTTTTTTCCATGGACTTCTGTAGTAAAATTGAACAGGTATTCTACGTATTCATACATATGTTCTCTCTTAACCATTAACTACACAGAACATGGTTTGAAACTAAATTTCCTTCCTTGTTTATTTTTGCAAGCAGTTTTCTCATAAAATAGCTTATCTGCCCCAAAGAGTCTCTCATCAAGACTATTAAAGGCTAAGGACTAACAGCAAGAAAATACAGTGAGGTATACTGTTTTCTGTTTCCTTGGACAAATCATTAATTAAAAAAAAACATCTTTCAGTTCATTCTGCCAAATCTGACGCGCTATCAGAGGTCCACGCTCAACAAAATAAAAGTCTGGGATTTTATTTATTTTTTTTAATGTTTAACTTCTGTTGCCTTACAGGTGGTTTTCAGAAGTGAGTATACCACAGTAGGTGGAACTTAGAAAACTACTCATTGTTATTTCACAAGATACCAGATCCAGAAAGCTCCATTTTGGCTCCTTGGAGTTTTTTATCTGTAAGCTGGGAAAATGCAACAAGTGACTACAGCAGGGTAACCTACACAAGCACTTCCCAGCAGATAGCATGAAAAATATTGATGTTTTAGGGGATTAAAATAAAATTTCCCTAATGGTTTCCATAGATCTGTATCTAGGGAAGTAATAATCCCTTTTTTTATATGATTACTATAGTTGCTTTTTTTCTTTCTGGTTAACAGTAACCATTCATAAAAGACATGCATGCTCTGATACTACAGACTGATACTATATTCCACACATTCCCTCCCATTCTTCAAACAATGCAAACAGAATTTAACCATTGGAGCTTCTTGGTGAAAAAAATATTAGTAAAAGGACACCCAAGTATAATAAAATTATTACACAGTTTTATTTTGAAGAACATTTTGCATTTGTTTTAATACAAAATGATGTAGGTCAAGAAATAATTTACAAACCTTTAAGTTCTTATCCTGGCATTTGAAATAAGAATGATTTCAGAGGAAGTCTGTAAGCTATTCATAGGAAACTGTCATTATGTACAAAATGCTTATTGACATGTTTTAAACATCACATTTGTAAAAATGTGAACTGGATTGCTATCTAGCATATGAACTACAGGTAAAACCTGATAAGATAACTTGTTAGAACAAGTCATTGTTATCCAGTGCTAACAAAATAGACAGTAGCTTTCAGTGTGTTTTAATTATCCTCCAAGGTCATTTCAGCCTCAAAGTCATTTCAGGGTTTTACTGCATTGTGAACAATATCGAAGCCCTCTCTTGATTGCATAAAAATAAATCTTTGAAATAGTACACACAGAACAACAGAAGGGTAGAGGCAATAAAATAGTATACTTTGTATATCAAGGTTTTTGGTTCTGTGTAGAATCATTTTATCATATTTCTTTTCTTTACGAGCAGACAACGTAGTACTGAAGTAAAGCATTTTCATTTCCCTGTGAAGTATTTTCTGCCCAAGATGCTTACTGTGTCAAATTAGGGTATGTAGGTATTACATTTAGTTAAAACTAAT